TCAATCATAGTTTAAAACTATAGCAGTGATTCTCAGAACATGGTTCCTAAACCAGCAACACCAGCATCACCTGGGAACCTGACAGAAATGTGGACCTACTGAATGGAACCTGCGGAGATGGGGCCCAGCAATCTGCTGGCAAAGCCTTTCAGGTCTGTGCTTGCTGAGGTCTGACAGCTACTGTTCTAGAACAGGGTTCTTAACCTAGGATCCGGAGGAAGTTTTAGGGGGTCTAAAACTTCCTTGGGTTTGCATATAAAATTTTACATACATATCCTTTCTCAGAGAGGGAGTCCAGAGAAGCCACCTCTTAACCCCAAACAAGTTGTGAACTCCTACTGTATGAATCATTTCATGGTAAACATCCCCCTGCCTGTACCCACAAACTTCATTTTCCTGTTTCTTTGCCTTAAAAGACACCTGGCTTTACCCCAAAGAATCCTGTGGTCAGGGACGCCTGGGTGGCTCAGTTGGTTACGCATCTAGATGCCTTCAGCTCAGGTCATGATCCCAGAGTCCTGGGATTGAGTCCCACACAGGGTTCCCTGCTTAGCAGGGAGCCTGCTTCTCCCTCTGCCACCCCCCCTGCTTGTGCATTTGCTTGCTCTGTCAAATAAATAAAAATAAATCTTTAAAAAAGAAACCTTGTGGTCATTTTCCCCTGCCCCATGTACCTTCAGTATAGGAGATGGGCCTCCCATATACTGTACCCAGACCATTATCCCTCCACACAGAAATCTCTGCTCTTTTGAGACTCAGACCCCTCCTTTATTGTGTCATCTGCTTACCTTCCAGATATTTCGCTCATTCACTATAGACTTTGGGTTCCTACAACACTGCCATCAGCCTGGGTGATATCAATGTCATATGAAAGACCCATCCAACACCCCAGCCTCACAGGACCCTCCCTCATTGACCACCCCAACATCAAGAAAGTTCCCGTCCATGACACCTGAACTGCTCACTCTATGCCATTTGGGGACTTACCCTCACCTGGGACGGTTCCCCCTTTGCACCAGTCAGCTCAAACTAAGTGTGGTAACACACCCCCAAATCTCAGTGGCTTCCTATAAAATGTTTGTTTCTCTGCCCACTGCAGGACAGCTGTAGCTCTGCCCCCTGCTCCTGTCAATCCTGGAGCCAGACTGAAGGAGCAGCCCCCATTCTGGGGCGCAGTAGCCTCATGCTGAGGGAAAGGAGCACGACTCACCCCCGTAATGGTCCCTAAACCTCTGCTCAGAACTAGTACACTCGGGGAGCCTGGGTGGCTCAGTCGGTGAAGCGTCTCTTATTTCAGCTCAAGTCATGATCTCAGGGTTGTGAGATCGAGTCTCGCATTGGGCTCCACACTGGGCATGGAGCCTGCTTAAGCTTCTCTCTCCTTCTCCCTCTGCCCCTGCCTCCCTTCTCAAAAAAAAAAAAAGAAGTAGTACACTTCATTCCCCCTCACATTTCATCGACAAGCCTGGTGTCATTGGGGCAGAGAGGATAATCCTCTCCAAAGTGTGGTAGAGAGAAGTGGCAGATGTTTTGACAATTCAATCTACCCCAATCTTTGAAGTCTTTATTAGAACATCAATCCATCTCAGAACACAGCAGCCTGTCCTTTCTGCTCTCAGTCCACTCCTACCATACCATTCTTTCAATTTCATTCAGGCTTCCCATTTCCTATCAGCCCTCTCCCAGAAATAACGATGATAGATAACCTTTATTGAACACTTCGTAGGTGCTGACTTAACCTCTATTATCCCATGACATATTTGCGGCTTAGAGAAGCTAAATAAACCTGTCTTCACTTTCTTCTTCCTCTCCTCTAGGTTAGAACCATCATTTCAACTATCAGGGGAACAACAGGAGAACCAGGTAGAACCGAGAGCCCAGGTTGGGGACATGAATGCGTAGTAACAGCAATCAGCAGGTTGTATGATTTTTCTCCCAAAACATCTCAGCGGCTGGAACTATTGGTTCTCAGCCAGAGGGGATTCTCTCCTTAAGTGACATTTGGCAGCGTCTGCAGATATTTCTGTCATCTTGAGTAGAGGTCCACACAATGGAAAATTTCCCAGGCCCAAATGTCAATAGTGCTGAGGCTGAGGAGCCCCGGGCCAGGGACAGGGGCTGTCGGGCCATGGCCTCGCAGGTTTCCCTGGTCCGTTCTCTCCTATTCCCCAGAGTTCCCACTTCAGACCTTCTCCACTCTCTTCAAACTCTTACCCCAACTGCCTCCTCCCTCAGATTCCACTCTCTCCTTCCCTGCTTTCAACTACACCGAACTTTCCAGTCTCCCAGATGCCATATGGGCTCCTCACCTAAAGGCCCTTGCACCCCTGCTCCCCCCTCTCCCAACTCCCATTCTTCCTTGAGCTCTCAGCTTCTCGTCTCTTCAAGGAGGCTGTTCCTCGACCCTTGACTAGACCGGCGCCTCTTCTCTGTCTCCCACAGCAACACATGTGCTCCTCACAGAACAGGCACCACACCAACACTATGTGTTGAACCGGCCAGTTTCCCTAAGCCATGAGAGCGAGGACCACGTTCCTCCTCTTCACCACAGTACCCCGGGACCTACGAAGTATAAGATACAGGATATTTACAGTACAGGCCTATTTCCACGTGGATCTTCTCATATGTGCCAAGTCAACACATCCAAAACAAAACTCATCATTTTTTCCTACCTCACCACCACCACCCTCACAAACCTACCCGTTTGCCCTTAATTTTTACCTCAGTGAACGGCACGGCCATCCGCCATCCGCCGGAGCCATCCCTGACTCCTCCCCTTCCCTCACACCCGCAGTGACTCATTCGGGAAGGGCATCCCTTGTCCCTTCCGCCTGGGGTTCCCTCAAATCCATGCACTTCTTTTGGGCTTTTGTCTCAGACACAATAGTTTTAACCAGTGACTGATTCTGTGACTCTTAATTCCTTTGGACAGGTTATTCCGTTCCCCTAAGCTTTAAATACCCCATGGGATAAATGCCAGGTCAGCACCTACTAAGTGTTTAGTCAATGTTACCTACTATTATTTTTTCCAGGCCCATTGCCATCACCTTAGGAGTATCATCGTTTCTAGGCCAGATTGCTGCCACAACCTGTTATCCCTGCTTCTAGTCTGGCCAGCACTCCAGTCTATTCTAACAATGCAGCCAGAATCTTCCAAAAATGCAAATGAGACCATGTCACACACCTGCTTAAAATCCTCTAATGGCTCTCCACTGCCTTCAGGATAAGGCTCAAACTCCCTGGCGTGGCACAGCACCCTTCATCAGCCAGCCCCTCCAGCACCCCAGCGCCTTTTCTCCTCGCTTCTCTGGCCACACCTCTTGCTCCAGCCACACAGAACAACGGAACGTTCGCAAACACACCTTGCTCTCACGGGTACTTCGACTGCCGTTTCCTCGGCCCGTGTGGAAACTGCCAGATGTCCTGAAGGCCGTTGCTGGATTGTAGGCAACTTGAGGGAGCTTCCTAATTCACTGTGCTATTCCCAGTGCTAAGCAGGATCTGACTCATATGAACACCAAATAAGTCATAAGCTATACTGAATTGAACTCCCAAACTTTATTTTGAAGAGGAAAGAAAGCAAATGAGTTTCGAGTTTGGAAGGGATGTAGGTGAGATGATCCTCGTATCCCCAGTCCTGTAATGACCTGAAATCTAATAGCACTAATCTTTAAAATACCTTTAGAGGACGGATTTGTGTGAATTCTGGCAAACAAGCACCAACTAACTAGGCATTTGTCTGCTAATGACAGTTTAAATCATTTACTAGTTTCGGCTCGTCTTCGTCTGGCCTCAAGACTACATTCATCTGCAGCACCAGGACTCAAGAGGAGTAGGATGGAAAACCCAGAAAACAAAACATGTTATGCAGTTGGATTTGTTACAAAATACCTTAAAGAGGTCACAAAACGTGGAAAGGGTTGTGTGGACACAGAAACTCACTTCATCCTTGGTTCTAATGTTCCTCTTACTTGTTTTCATTTTTAAAATGCTATCCCTGATATTTCCATGTCAGCCCACCCCGCCCCCAGGAGCTCCTCATACAGGTATATACTGCGTATCTCTAGATAAGACAGCCTATGAAGTGTGCCCCCCAAAGTCGTGCGGTGTGCACCAGTCTGCACCTGCTTTGCAGTGGCCCTGAGCTCGGGACAAATGACCAGATGTTTCACTCACCTGAACAGTCTTAGCTGTAAGGACATGACCTTTTGAAAATGTGGGCTAGCAAGCTCTTTGCGGGCAGTTTGTCTTCCATATCCTTCCAAAGAACAGAACCTGAGGGCACAGACCAGTGGCTGCAATGAAGCTCCTCAGAGTGAATGTACAATGTTGTGTTTTTGTAGAAGAGATCTGGTAAGTTCATGAGCTTTTCAGGGAGGGCTATCATCCACCTCCCAATTTAAGAACCACTTCTAGAGACCTCAGCAGATGTTAGGCAGATAAGTGATTAATGTATACTTTGTGACAGGCCCTCAGTACCTCGTGAACTAGCCCCAATTCAAAACACAAACTAGAACCCTGCACCTAGCATCTCTCTGTCAACTCAACAGAAGCAAATCTGTCATCTCACCATTTGCAATCTCTCCAGCAGCAAAGAAGGTGGACAAGATGATATCCCCGTGGGCTCAGAAGAGTTCGGTACAGACTTGTGCCTAGAGAGAAGGCTTGCCTTAAATCACTCTAGATGTGCAGGTTCAATACAGTCTAATTCTCAAGGGCTCTAGTTGGGGAAATTCCAGTTGGCCTAACTAACTAGCTCAAGGTTAAAAAATATTCTGCGAAATCTTGAGGTTCCCTTCAGGATTGGGAACCTAAAAATGAAATACAATACTCTAATAGGTGAATGGAGGAAAATATCAAAAGTCACTGTTGATTTTAAGTACATAACTTCTTTTGCAAAATCTATTCTCTTTGTCCCCAAATCAGACTAAAGATTACATACAAAAACAGAAAGTGAGATTTTGCGATATACAAATTTCCCCAATAAGGACACCACAAAATGGCAAAATGAAAAATATTTAATACACCAGAAAGCACAACAGAATCAAAAGGTATTAAAAGCATTACATAGTGCAAAACCCAGAAAGATACAGAGCCATTAACTTATTGCTTAAAAGGACTAGGCAAAAACACATGAAAATGTCTCCTCATTTAGTGAGCTGGCCACTATTCAAAAAGTTACTTGACATTGCTTTTTTCTGTCCACTTTATGAAACCACATTTGCTACACTCCTGTTGATTATGCTTACCTGAGCAGATATGTTATTTGGAAAACTGCATGTTTTCTGTATATCCTTTTAGGCCACCTACTCAAGTGCAAGTAGAAAATTTTTGTCCATCCAGACCACGGCAGAGCAGTTGTATCTACTATCCAAATTTACACACACTTCTCTCACAACCTAGAGACAGAACTCTTTTCTAGTCAGGAGCTTCATACCAAGAAGTTACATATAAGTTACAGGCTACTTATATGAAGTATATATGTGTAAGTACCTACACCCATAGGTACAAGGAAGCAACATACACTCTGCTAGGCAGGCACTACGGGGAGCTTGTGCTCAGCTTCCAGGACATGAGGTATTCTGAATATATACCCCAGAAATCTGTATAACCATTTTCAACATGTCATTCAAGGCAATGTATATATAGGTTAAGCTGCTCCAGATCCTTAACTTCCATAACTATGAGGTAGAAAGGGTAGTATGCGTGTTCATTTAACAGATGAAAAAAATGAGGCTTAGAAAGGTGATGACTGGGACTGCAGATGGCGGAAGGATCTTACACTCCTTATCTCTATCCAAAAGGCACTTAACAGTGCCTACCTGTAGACTAAGGGACAGAGTCCTATGCAGAAGCTGCTTACAACTTCTACCTTGCCAAGTACTGAGGAGGCCAGAAACATTTCATTCTCCTTTTAAAACATTTTCTATTATTTTTAAAAGGAGGAAAGAAAAAAACCAAAGGAGATGTTTTGATTTTAAAAGGAAGTGAAAAACAAGGCAAACTGCAGGGGAAAAAGGGCCTCTTGTAAGAAGAGGGAAGGCTGGCCTCAGTTTCTTAGTGCTGGGGTAAAAGGGGAGCTCATTTCCCTGCTCCCCCATCACGGACACAAAGGAAGCCTGAACTACAAGTTGTTTTTTATTAGACAGTAGCTCTGGTATCACAGCTTCCCTTCCTTATTGCTAGAATCCAACACCTACCCCTGCAAAAGAAACATTCCCCAGGACTGACAGGAAAAGAGGAGTCTTATCTAAAGATATTGTAGTTCCAACCACCCACGGGGTGATACAAAAGGCCTTTGGTATAAAAGCAATATCCAGAAGTAGATCACTGTGAACTCTGAGGAAAAAAGAGCAATAATAAGGGAAGAGGAAGGAGAAAGTTTATGACATCAAAGTAGTTACTGTTAAAAAAAAAAAAAATGCCTTGGGATAAGACATTACGTGCTCTAATAATGGTCAGTGTCATAGTGATAATGTCAATTTTCAAGAAAGCATTTGCCAAATTATAGCAACTATTCTGGGAAAGGAATTGCTCTGACAGCACTGTTTGACCCTTTTTAAGATCCTCGACCCATTCTACCGCAAGAAATGAGGACTCGTACTTGCTGTCCCATGCTCCCGGAAGACATTAAGTAAGGATCCTGGGTGAAGGAAAACAATCCGCAGCAGCAACAGCATCCGGGACTCCAGCTAAGCTACCAACAAGTATCAACTACCTCTGTCTGCAGATACACCAATCGGCAACATTTTCAGTCACTCGAAAGGCCCTGAGAGAGGCACAGTAAACCCAAGGGATCTTTAAGATTCTACTTTCTTTAACAATGCCACATTCACCAATAATGGCGTTCCTTGGGATTGCACATTCCTTCTACCAAAAGATCTCAGAATGCTTGGGGGACACTCTCCCACAGGAGAGAAGAGATCCAGTGGCTCCTATAAAAGGAAGAAGGTAGCAATGGTGACCGAGGAAAGCGCTGTCCACAGACAGGACGTCTCAAAGCAATCTGGAAAAACTGTCCCCAAATTAGGTCAGGGAGTCACCTCAACCACTACCTCACTCATTTCCAGTTTAGCTTTAGATCCTCAGTATCTCTCCTCATATGCTAAACTACAACTCCACTAATCACCATCTGGAAGATTCCAGCAAAGTAACCTCGGCATACCCTATGGCAGTGCAAAATTCCAGACATTTGTAAACATTGTACATCTTGCTTTTGGCACAGGGGAGAGCTTACGGGTTATCTTTGAAGTGAAGACCTGAAACACAACTAGTTCCTATTCTATAGCCATTTTCAGCAAAGGCATTGGCAGTCTTGATAGTATATGTGCATACATATATACTCATGAATGAAGAGAATCATCAAAATAAATTCTTTAGGACACCAGTCAACAATTTAAGTAGATACTACGGTAAATGAAAAACAATGGCTTCACAGTATCTAAGGCATGTACTTTCAGAAGTTCACATGACTCTCTGTGGGAAAAAACCCAAATATCTGGTTAACAAATTTCCTCCTTTTGGGGCACCTGGGTGGCTCAGTTGTTAAGCGTCTGCCTTCAGCTCAGATCATGATCCCAGGGTCCTGGGATCGAGCCCCACATCAGGCTCCCTACTCTGCAGGGAGCCTGCTTCTCCCTCTCCCACTCCCCCTGCTTGTGTTCCCTCTCTCTGTGTCTCTGTCAAATGGATAAATAAAATCTTTAAAAAAAAAAAAAATTTCCTCCTTTCTAAAGAGAACCAAGAGATAATACTACAGTAGTTCTATAGAACCCAAGATCTAATATTCACCAATTTCTCGTCAATGACTGTTCAAAGGAGCCAACAATGCACTGAACTGACATTTTAAAGAAAATGTTACAAATGATCCTGACCTTTAAAAATAAATTCTAACAAACAAAATAATGTCCCACAAAGCATTATATACACCTAAATATACATAAATTATTATTAAAACACAACTGCATATTTCAAATGCTTGGCAGTGATTCCATCTCGTATTAGAAAAGTTCACAGCAGTTTGTAGGCTGGCCTGGCTGACAGTGATCCATTGTTCAAGCCTAGGATTGCGAACCTTCAATATTCCAGAGGTGGACTGTGGGGAAATGGCAATATGCATCTGAAGACTTGGTCTTAAGATTTTTATAAAGTCTGATTTAAGTATTTAATACAAAAGCATAGCAAATGTTGTAAGTACGGTGCAAGAACAGTGAGTTAATGAGACAGGAGACATTTTAGCTGTAACCTAGAAATTCATTGTTTCTAAGGATTTGTTGTTTTTGCTCTGAACTTTCTGTCCAGGATAACATGATCATAAATATTAAATGATAATTAAAATAAGAAATTTGGTGCTGGGGCACCTGGCTGGCTCAGTCAGTATAGAGTGCGCAACTCCTGATCTTGAGCCCCACCTTGGGCGTACTGATTACTTAAAAAAAAAAGAAAAGGGAAGGAGAAGGGGAAAGGAAGGGAAGGGAAGGGAGGGGAGGGGAGGGGAGGGGAGGGGAGGGGAGGGGAGGGAAAGGAAGGGAAGGGAAGGGAGGGGAGGGGAAGGGAAGGGAAGGGAGGGGAAGGGAAGGGAAGGGAAGGGAAGGAGAGGGGAGGGGAGGAGAGGGGAGGGGAGGGGAGGGGAGGGGAGAGAAGCCAAGCACTAACGTGGGATGATTTCATTAATCCTAGGTCTATAGCATGATACAGCACAAACAGTCAACTCTGCAGGCACCTACTTGAACAGATCCTTTCCTCACAATCAAGATTTCACCTCAGGCAGCTGAGAGTGAAGAGAAAAGGAGACAAATCAGATGGGCCGCTGGAAAAGAGGGGTAAACTGGCATTGTCTCCAGAAAACCAGAGCCCTGGCTCTCTGACGACAACTAAAAGATAAATGGTAGTGTGTAGAAATCAAGAGTTTATCTCATAGGAGGAAAACCATGAAGACCATGTATTGCTTTCATGGCAGTCAAATACACCTGTACCGCAGTAGCGTTGAAAAAAGAACAAGATGAAAGATGAATCAAGATGGTCTAAAGCATTGCTCGGATAGCACTATTTGGCTCTCTGTAGGATCCTGGACCCATTTTACCACAAGAAATCCTCCTTGCTGTCCTATGCTCGTGAAGACATGAAATAAGGATCCTGGGTGAAGGAAAACAATCTGCAGCAGCATTCAGATGAGCTATGGGGGGACTATCAGCTCTTTCTCTGTAACAGTTGCAGTGACTCACAAGGCTCTTGCTAGAGGGACAGTAAACCCAAGTGTAGGTTTATTCTAAGACTCACAGCTCAAACATGCAGCTTGGAATCTTCCAAGCAAAGGATTTAGTGGTAATGGGGACAGCAAAAAACCCAGGTGAGCAAGGGGGAGAAGGAAAGCTGAGTAGCAGAAGAGGATCCTATGCTAGGCAAGGATGTACCAAAATTAGCATCAAATATCTACAAATGCAAATAAAATTTTTAAATTTTTTCTTAAGTTTTCCAAAAATTGCAGCTTTACGTAAGAGGAATCAGAGGGTGCAAGTGCAGATTCCCTACTCACCCTGTCCCTCCTTTAAGTCATCACCTGCAAAAGCTCCTAACTGGCAAAAATCAGACAAAATTGAGGGCTATCAAACTATTCTGAAGACAGAAGCACTTGGGAGAAAATAGGGAAGATAGACATTTAACTTGCTGCATTCACCACGGTCTAACAGAACACTGAACTCCGAGGACTCGTTCTGCTTCGAGGGGAAAACCTTTGTCCCTGATACCTGGAGAGAGCGAGAGACCTGGGCTTCCTTCCCTAAGAAGGAACAATACTGGAGAAAGTGGTTCAGTTTCCCCTGTACCTTCATCTGTCCTCTCCCTGTGGGAGAAGTAACTTAGATCTGATTATATAAGAAAGGCTGATATTTCATGAAAATAAAAGGCATAAAAAAGTTTTGTATAGATGAAGAATGCTTATGCCTACGCCTGTTCAAGAGTGTTGATTTGGAGTGGTTTGCAAGAGTCCTCATTTAAAGCGCCCTCTTGTGTCATTATGATGTTGTGCATCTTCTTTAATGGATGGTGCGGAGGGGACAGAATCTAGTGTACAAGTGAGGGAATTAGTCTGCACCAAGATGTTCCAGCCAGTGGAACAAGAGAGGAACATCTATGGCAGAGATGCTGGCTGGTAGGTCAGTGTTGTGCTAGTAAATTGCATAAGTCTTTTCTGATTGAGTTTTGTCAATAAAATAGGAAGCAAGGTTAGGCTGAGTGAAGATGGATGAAGAGGTGTAGGAGGTCGAAGAGAGAAAACTGTTAGGTTTCTCTAAGAAGACGTTGGGATAATGGGTAGATGATGACTATATGGTTAGATCTTTCCATAGCATTAAATACATTTGCAACATAAAAAAAAGGGGGGGGGGGCCTGGGTGGCTCAGACGGTTAAGCGTCTGCCTTCGACTCAGGTCATGATCCCAGGATCCTGGGATCGAGTCCGGCATCGGGCTCCCTGCTCCTTGGGAGCCTGCTTCTCCCTCTGCTTCTCTCTCTCTCTCTGCCTCTCATGAATAAATAAATGAAATCTTTAAAAAAAAAAAAAAAGAAAGGCTGATATTTACTGGGCCTTTTCTCTTTGGGGAGAAAGTGTTAAGTCATTCTCTCTAAAGTCCTACTTCGGCTGCAAGTCATATTCTGCAAGATTTTAAGATGATGAGCACCTTGAACCCAAATTGCACAAGCATCACCCTTTAAATATTTAACAAATAATGAGAAGAAAGTGAGCATGGTTTCGGGATTTACTACAAGGGACTTGGATTCTAGTAACAGTTGCATCACTAGCTGTGACTCTTGGCTATCATTTACCTTTTAGCCTGAAGTGCAAAATAACAGGGGTTGAGTTTAAGAGTGCATTCTAGTTTTAAACTTCTAGAACTTTTAACAAAACTCCCCCTCAAGAAATTAAATATGATGCTAAAAGCAATCTTGTTCGTTGTACTTCTTGTAACTGGGAAAACCCTTCCTTCCAGGGCAGGGCTTCCCAAAGTGTGGTCTGTGGACCATTTACCAGCTTCCAGAACACATGTTCTAGTGGAAAGAAACCCCTCACGGGGGGAAACAGGGCTGTTGTTTAAATTTGTTTGTTTGTTTGTTTGTTTGTTTTGACTTGGGCTTTTCTTAACAAGCAACTGAGGTGATTTTTATGATCAGTAAATTTGTTAATTCTAGGGCCATGGTCTTCAAAATCTCATATGCAAACCCCCGGGCATACATCAAGATTTTTTCCATGGGGAAAGCAGACAGGAATATGTATAACGACATCAGCTTAAAGATCTTCAATTTCCATATGTATTGCCCTAAGATTTATGTGCTCAGATAAGGCTTCTTCAGATCTAACATTTTTCTTTACTTATTTTCATTTTCACAACTGCCATACTCCCTATTTCCAAAAGAAAGGCTGACTCATACCCATCTAGAATCTTACTACGGGGCATTGCCTCAGAATGTAAAAAACCTCTGGAGGCATCAAACAAAAGAACAACAATAAAAAAAAAAAAAAAAAAAAAATTCTCAAGGGACAATGAGGACAGAGTAAAGCAAAGAGAGCTTCGGTTAAAAACTCTGCACCTCATCTATCTTAGAACTATAATTGAGAAGCTTGTGCCAGAAATGTGTTAGTGCATTTATCTGAATTAAAAATAAAGTCAAACATTTTCTGACTGAAAATGAAATCTGATTCGGCTGGTGAATTTTAATATGAGAACAGGCTTTGCTACTTTATATGACAGGACTTCTCCTATAAATTTAATCAGCTAAATATACAGCTCCAAGGCTTTGAGAAAAACATTTTTAAGGCACATATACAATATATTGGATAGGGTATCCTTTGTAAGTACTTAAATTTATTTTTAAAATTTAGATGTCACATTAAACATGTGCAAAAAGAAAACTAACCGAGAATGAGAGCCATGAAATGGAGAAGGAACTGCTTGGAAAGGGGCACAAGGGACAGAAACCGTCCCCTTAGAGTAGCTTGTTTTAGGTTGGCTACTCAGATGTCTACAACTCACCATAAGGGAACACTTTGTTTGCTAATCATACCCCAAGGTGTAAAATGTGCAAAAGGTTATATATAGTTTTTCAAAATTCTTTCAGGGGTATGTTAGCAAAAATGCTCTTGTTTCTCAAGACTTTTCTTTTGGCTTATCTGAATTGTGTGGCCTGATTGCAACCATAAAGTGATCTATAGCATTACACAGCTTGACTAATCAAATTACTTATGTTTTTTTCATTGTCAGCTCTAATATTTTTCTAAAAGCCACCTTGGATCTTGATGCCTAAGAACACTCCCTAACAGAAAAAAAGAATAGGGAATAAAATTAATTGAAGAACACTCCCTAACAGAAAAAAAGAAGAGGGAATAAAATTAATTGAAGAACACTCCCTAACAGAAAAAAAGAAGAGGGAATAAAATTAATTGGAGAAATACTAAATCTTCAAGTAACTGGGTAAGTGAACGAATTAAAGTACTTTTGTTTGTACTGACAGTTGCTTTCTCCCAGATCCTCATCTTTAAAGAGAGAATGAAGTGATTAACGCACCTTTTCATACTAATGGGAGTGCCCCAAACTGATAATCTAGTTCTAAAGAACTCATTCTCAAATTCCCTCTAAGTGTAGAAAGAAAAATGTTGCGACACACGGATGTTTACATAAATAAATAAACAGATGCAGTGGGTTACACCGAGTGGAGATGCTCAATACTGACATTTTGATACATATGTAGCCCGTTAATATTTCTCTGCAATTCATGGAGTCAGCTATGCTATAAAAACCTTAATAACCAACTGAATCTCCTTCTTGCAAATAGGGCATGAAGCCCCAGCCTTCTTCAATCTTCTGGCACAGTGAAAACAAGTGACAAGATGCCCCGTCCTCCCATGAATAATGTTCCCATCCCGTGGTCTTTTCTCACACAGACTACACGGCTTCAAGAGATTCTGGCAATCCTCCACGTTTTCTGTACCTGTTCTCTGCTCGAAAAGGCTATCTGATTGCTCTCCCAGGCTTGATACGGTTTCCTGGCTTTCCGAACTGTGGGCCAAATCCAAGAATTCCACTGAGCTGCAGGGATCAAAAAGTTTGGGGTTTTTCTCTTCCTTTGTATATACATCTTTCGGTCTAACAACTGGAGCTGATATGGTTCTTCGGCAATCAGGGACGTCAATTCCTTCATTTTCCTTCTTTTCAGGTATGGCAGTGATATCAGACGTGGAGAGAGAATGGGTTAACTTAGAACAATCCGAATACCAATCCTTCCTCAACGCCCAGCAACGAAAACAGTACCTCTTGCTTGGAGAGTTAAATTTCTTGCACTCAGTACACTGCCACTCATCCTACAACGACAAGTGCAGCCGATTAATACTCACGCAGTGGTGACCGTGAAGCTGAGAAAAAGGGAGGGTAGGCCAAATGTCATCATCTCACCAAGCTAGTGAGAGTCCAGACATTCCACGTCAGTGGTCTAGCCTCGCATCTGAACAGTCCACAGCCATGTGTAAGAAAGTCTAGAGAAGTTTTACAGTGACAGTGACAAAATCGCCATTTCAAGTCAAAATTTGATATAGCTATCTTTAAGAAAGTTAAATTCATTATTCTGGCATTTTGTCTAGTCTGGGTGGAATTTACATTGCTTGCTTTTCCCTGCTGCCTTCTTTTTTAGTTCATTTCTCATTGTACAACTTACTCTTTTATTGAGCAAGAGGCTAACGAATGAAGAAAAGATAACACTTTCTTTCCTTCCCACTAATTAAGAAATGTTATAAAATTTGGCAAAAAGGAAGCTAAAATTAAAATGAGGTTTGGGGGCGCCTGGGTGGCTCAGTCGTTAAGCATCTGCCTTCGGCTCAGGTCATGATCCCAGGGTCCTGGGATCGAGCCCCGCATCGGGCTCCCTGCTCTGTGGGGAGCCTGCTTCTCCCTCTCCCACTCCCCCTGCTTGTGTTCCTGCTCTCGCTGTCTCTGTCAAATAAATAAATAAAATCTTTAAAAAAAATAAAATAATGGGGAGCCTGGGTAGCTCAGTCGTTAAGCGTCTGCGAGGGCTCAGGTCATGATCCCAGGGTCCTGGGATTGAGCCCCGCATCAGGCTCCCTGCTCAGCGGGAAGCCTGCTTCTCCCTCTCTCTTTCTGCCTGTTGCTCCCCGTGCTTGTGCTCTCCGTCAAATAAATAAATAAATCTTTACCAAAAAAAAATGAGGTTTGAAAACTACTACATTACTCACTGCTCTCAGGATCAGAGGTCACTAACTGTTGTATGCCTAAACCCTACCCTCTGAAAAATGAATGTTCTTGCCCTTGGATGCTGGTAACTTTTTTCCTACTTCTCCATATTCAAATTAGGAGATACTAGAGCTCAGTGAATTTTAAATGCCTCACTTAATGCAAAGGTAGCTACCTGGAACAAGTCAAGAGTATTTAATGTGGATAATTGCCTGGCTTTGACAGGATCAGTGATTTAACACAGGCAAACTGGATTACTTTCAGAATGAAGGCTGCACACTTCATGTTTAGAAGGCCTAACTCAACTGCCTAGGCCAAGAGGCAGGGACACGACCATTTGTTAAACTGGTGGTCTTTAGATAGCGTCAAAACATTCTTGCCAGTTTAAGATCCCAGATCTCATCTCATCTATTTCATGCTATACAGAATCTCAAAGGCACTTCATAAAGACTTGGAATTCGTAACTGATGGTGTGTCATAGTCTAATTGGCATCATTTTTTTTTCTTTAGTAGTACATAAATAGGGCTTATTAAATTAAATGGCATCTTTGATTTGATGAAATACAGTCTATTTGCTTAATAGGTTTTCTGGGCCCAAGTAGCCACAGAAGTCTGATTAAGATGGAAACACTTATCTCTGCTATTTGTATTATCGTCAAGAACACTTAATGGACCAATATATTCCATTTTATTACTTAGCTATGCACAGACAGATAATTTACAATGCATTACCATAATGGTCAACAGTGGCAGGCTGGGAGTTGGGGGAGGATCAACACCAGAGACAACCTACAACTTTTCTATCCCCAAGTAGCAAACTGTAAAATCCCCTCCCTTCTCCTTCCCCCACCACCCTTCCCAGCAAGTGAGCCAAGGGAAGTGCTGAAAGGAAAATGGGGAACTACCATGAAAAGAGAAAGGCAAGGTGTATGTCTGAATCTAAACCTCGGTTGTCACATCTGGTGACAAATCCACACCTAATACCCAATAGCTTAATACTACATCTTCATTTACTAGCCCTCCATTAATGTAAACCTGTGTGGAAATTAAGCCATTTCCCACTGGTTTGTTTTTAAGAAAGCAGTGAAAATATGATCTTTATTCTTGAGAAAGAATTTTAGGTAGCTTACAGATCTATCTTTAGGATTATGGAGGGCTGTTTAGTGGGAAAAGTAGTATAGGACTATTTTAAATAACTCTGTGTATCCACTGCATCACGTCCAAAGAATTTTGTTAGCAGGGAGAAAGGCATACAGACAGGCATTTAAGTCACCCCTTTCAAGGTGGAGAGAGGATTAGGTCAACTCATCCTCCTCTTCTCCAAATCCCAATAAAAACCTCTAACAAGATATAAAGAAGCCAATATGTCTTAACACCAAGGAAAGCAAGATAGAAACGGGGGAAATGGCCTTCTTCAACACAAGTGCATTGCTGGAACGTTCACACTGGAAAACGCACGTGGTGCAAAACAGCTTTTTTACTAGCTACTCATACCTCGGAGGTAACTTCTACATCAGTATCATCACTTAGGGACTTAGAGTCCTCAAGGTCATCATTTTTTCCCACTTCAACCACCTGCGAGGGCAAAGACATCTCATTAGTAAGGTTCACCTAGTTTAGATGAGGCTATAACCTGAGAGCAAAAAAGACAGAAGAGCTTCAATTTAGAGCTCAAATTGTGCCTCCATCACTAGCACTTGAAAAGAAAATGGCTTGGGGTGCCTGGGTGGCTCAGCTGTTTAGTGTCTGCCTTCGGCTCAGGTCATGATCCCAGAGTCCTGGGATCGAGCCCCACATCGGGCTCCCTGCTCCGCGGGAAGCCTGCTTCTCCCTCTCCCACTCCCCCTGCTTGTATTCCCTCTCTCGCTGTGTCTCTCTCTGTTGAAAAAGTAAATAAAATCTTAAAAAAAAAAAAAAGAAAATGGCTTACATGACTCTGTGCACACCCAGTTGGCAGCTCAATAGAAGAAATGACTGAAAAGTGCCCAGAAGGCTCACCAAATACAAGAGGGCACCCATATGTATGACTTCAATGAAAATAAACGGTAGTAGAGGAGAAAAGCTACAAATCATTAAATGTGGAAATTTTTTATCTTGAGAATTTATGTAGGCATTCACAAGAATAAGGACTGCATGAAAAAATGAAGTGAAAAGCACTACGTAAAATAAGGAACTGAGATGTGAAGAATGAAAAGTATTTTATGAAAAGTAAATTTCGTATCCAAAAGTAAAACTAGTTATGTGATACTCTGGTTGTCCCATAAAAACATGCCCACTGGGGCGCCTGGGTGGCTCAGTAAGTTAAGCATCTGCCTTGGGCTCAGGTCATGATCCCAGGGTCCTGGGATCGAGTCCCGCGTCGGGCTCCTTGCTTGATGGGGAGTCTGCTTCTCCCTCTGCCCCTCACCCCGCTCATGCTCTCTCTCTCTCAAATAAATAAATAAATCTTTTTTTTTTTTAAAGATTTTATTTATTTATTTGACAGAGAGAGACACAGTGAGAGAGAGAACACAAGCAGAGGGGAGTGGGAGAGAGAGAAGCAGGCTTCCCGCCAAGCAGGGAACCCGATGCGGGGCTCGATCCCAGGACCCCAGGGATCATGACCTGAGCCGAAGGCAGCCGCTTAATGACTGAGCCACTCAGGTGCCCCAATAAATAAATAAATCTTAAAAAAAAAAAAAAAAAATGCCCGTGGACCAGGAAACAGAAAGTCAAGAAATGTGGGAAGTGTCTTCTAAATTTTCTAACTCAGAATTTAAAATTCTAAAAATTAAAACCCTATTTTGTGATCTAGTGAATGGAATAAAATCAATTACGATACAAATAGGAACCTCAGTATGTCAACTTCCTCACACAAGTTCAACTATTTTAAGTTCCATCTCTCTCAATGGAAGTTTCCAAATGTCACCTTTGTCTTCATTCCAGCCACTTGGAGTCCCTTCTAATGCCACTCATACAACTAGTCTAGCAGGACCCAAGCGTTGATCTGCCTATAAACATATCAAAATATCCTTCAGGAACCCAAATTACTATGAAAATCCCTCAAATTAAAAAGATGACCCTATTTAGATCTGTGTTTTGTTATACTTACTCAATAGATATTTACTGAGAATCTTGTCAATGTCAGGCATTGGATCTGCTGTCCAATCTCTTTTGAGACTTGAGCACATGCTTATATGACTTTTATTGTGCTCCCACTATGTGTATTCAGAGTTCTCTCTTCTTTCCCCTTATTTAAACTCCAACTTATGTAAGAAGAACTCACCTGTCTATTCCCATTTAGGTATGAGTGACTGTGGAAGACACTGAGATGTCCAAGAAGTAAGAATTTTTTTCCCTACAGGCTGCCACAGCCACTTTGAACTTTGCCTTGTTAGCAAAGCAAGGTCTCCAGAAGCAAAAACTCCACAGTGAGAGATTAGACAAGGAGGAAGGGGCAGCTTCTTGCTTCTAAGGAAGGAGGAGTTTTACCCATGCAGTCCTACCCTACTTTTAAGATAGTGTTGGTTAACTTAATGTGAACCTGAAAACTGGATACAGGAAAACAATAAAAGTAAAAGGGGGGATTATGTAAGTCATCTGTGGTACAAAGGGTCAGGATACCAGATCTGAACAGATTATACTATGTGCACATAAATACAACCAACGTGAAATTTTTCCAAACATACCTTTTTGTCTCTTACTTTTCCTACTTCTTCACTTGTTTGTTCAGTGTCTGCAGCTTCAACTTTTATTCCCACACCAAATTGTTCTGATACAGACTCATTCAAAAACCACAAATCATCTGTGGTGTCTGAAACAATGGCAGTACCTATATCCTAATAGAAAAAAACAAATGTGAGTTTTCGTAGTCAGAGGCTTATCGGTGACATTGAACCAAGAGAAATGAACCCCAAACTCAAGATCCTCACATACCTCCAAAAAACACCTAGCCTTTCTTCGGCGGACATCTATTCATTCAACAGATAACTACTTGGCACCTAACTATGTATAAACTAATGAATGGATATAGGGAGCCTGGCAAGGAATTTTCTATTTTAACAGTAAATCAGGTATAAGACCTGAGAAATAGTACCAAAAAGCTTAAAAGCTAAAGACTCATAGTTGCTCCACTAAACAGAACCTGTTCCCAAAGTTTCCTTTCCAAAGGTGACACTCTGAGAACCTAGAAAACATTCTATTAACTGTGATATATTATTTCCTTTATGGCCAATAATGTTTACTGAAAGACACCTGGGTGGCTCAGTCGATTAAGCATGCAACTCTTGATTTTGGCTCAGGTCATGAGATCGAGCCCCATGTCAGGCTCTGCACTCAGCACAGAGTCTGCTTGAGATCTCTCTCTCCCTCTTCTCGCTCTCTCTAAACAAACAAATAAATAAATAAATAACATCTTTAAAAAAAACAATGTTTATTGAAATATAAGAAATACTGAAGGTAACCCAAATCTTCTGTCCTGACTCTTTCTGAATTCCTAAACGACTTTAAATATAACCTTCTTTCTGGGGCGCCTGGGTGGCTCAGATGGTTAAGTGTCTGCCTTCGGCTCAGGTCATGATCCCAGGGTCCTGGGATCGAGTCCCGCATCGGGCTCCCTGCTAGGCGGGGAGCCTGCTTCTCCCTCTGCCTCTGCCTCTCTCTCTCTCTCTCTCTCTCTCTGACTCTCATGAATAAATAAATAAAACATAAAAAACAAAAAAACAAAAAAACCCTTCTTTCTGCATTCATCTATGGATTTTTTTTTTAAGATTTTATTTATTTATTTGACAGAGAGAGACACAGCGAGAGAGGAAACACGAGCAGGGAGCCCAATGCGGGGCTCGATCCCAGGACCCTGGGATCATGACCTGAGCCGAAGGCAGACGCTTAACGACAGAGCCACCCAGGCCCCCCGCATCTATGGGTATTTTATGACATGCTTTTCTATACTATTCCTAAGAGAAAACGTATTATTTTGCCACTATTCTATATCCATTCATTTACTGAGCAAATACTCACTGAATTCCTATTACGTGTCAGATACTGTTCTAGGAACTAGGTAAGAGAATAAAGTGATGAATAATGTGAAAGCCCTGGACTTTCATTTCAGTAAGGGTAAATAGGCAATAGATATATAAACAAAATAACAGTTTTTCAAAGTGAGAAATGCAAGAGAGAATATAAAATAAGATAAAGGAACAGAATGCTTATGGTTTGAATTAGAGTATAACACCGGAAGTAATAAAAGTCGTCAGATTTTGGATATGTTTTGGATAAAGAACTGATAACCTGCATGTGGCATATGACAGATACAGAAATCAATGCTATCCCTTTAGATCTGGCTGGAATAACTGGATAGAAGGTAGATTTGTGAAAAAGGAAAGGCCGTAATGTTTAGAAAAAATTAAAAATAAAATCAAGAGCTCTGGTTTGAACATGTTAAATGTCAGATCATCTAAGTGGAGGTGTGGAGTAGGCAGCTGAATATAGAAGCTGGGCATTTAGAAAAGAGGTCAGGGCTGCAGATACGGATTTGAGCAGCAGACGCACACAGATGGTACTTAAAGTCATAGCGCTGAATGAGAATTCTTACAGAATGCAATGTGTGGTCAAGAGTAACCAAGAATGTTACTCTTTCAAAAAAAAAAAAAAAACCAGAAAGTTCCTCTTCAAATGTGACATTTACCTGATTTGTCTGTAAATCAGTCGAGCCATTACTTCTAGGTGTATAGTTGCTCCTCAGGTTTCCTAAAAACCACCAAGGCAGCCCAGCTACATCCCACTCCTCAAACCCAAGGTCCAGCTTAGATGTCTCATCTTGCGTTAAGTTTTTTATGAAGTCTTCATCTACAGCAGTCAAATGGAAAGGACAGTAACTATGTACACAACACTAAGAATCAAAACTCGCTTTGTAACATTACAATCTCGTTTATAAGGCAGGTAAAAAGAAATTTCTACAGCCAGTATGAAAGAAACAGAAATCAAATATCTCAGTCACAGAGCCCAGATCTCCTCTCAAGTTTAGGCCTCATTCATTAATGAAGCAAGTAACGACACTAGAAGCAGATGATCATTTATCAAGCAATCTAAACTCTGAAAACATCCAAACAATGACATGGTTCTAGGAGGATTTCGAAATGGTTATTTACTGCCATGTTAAACATTCACACCACGGCATTAACTGAAGAAAAGACTTGCTCTAGTACATGATGCCCGATAATGGCCTGATCCATGAACTGCAAATGGTGGCAGCAGAGCGGCTGAACCTAAAGACAGAAGCAAGGCAGTCCGGACCGAATGGGCATCCACAAGGTTGTCAAGGCAGTCTCGCTGCTACGTATTTAGGGATGTTTCTCACGAATTCATGTTTGGATAGGTAACAACCATTATAAAACACTGAACTCTAGGTTGTCTAAGTAAATCTATACCTATGTCCTTTCTGGATCGATGGGCTCTCTTTTGGAGTTATCTAAGATCTAGAAATATTGCAAACCCAAAACATAAGAAGGCACCACATATTCCAAGTAAAAGATCTCATGTTGTACATCCAAATGACATTCAAGGTGATTACTAACGTAAGTATGGTGCTACCACAACATCCCATCATCCAATCTTTTTTTGTTGTGCTATCATCTTTCCCTACTTCCTCACTCTCCTCTACCTCTTCCCAATGCACCAGCCACACCAATAGCAACCACAGGTGCTTAAATGTGTTGAGGTACACGTGCTTGAAAACTTGCAATAAATGGGTCCCTGTCAGAACAAAAGATTACCTTATCTACTTACAAATTATGTTGAACCCTGCCCATTAAGTTCAGGGGAAAGTTCAGCTTTTCACTTACTCATTACTACAATTATCGAAACCCAAATTCCTGAGATGATGCCATATTAAAGTTATCCTCGTCTCTTCAAGTCCTCTAACATCTTGTAAAGGGAACAGAAATATCCTTTCCATGTATACAAAGTCTGTCCTTTCTACCTACACACTTTCCTGAAAATACTAAGCTCTTTATTCTCAAAATTTACAGCACAAACTAAATACAGTCTCTTGAATAGGCTATTCTTTTATTTCTGAGTAGCAAACAAGCAAGGACCTGCATTTAAAGAAGAAATTACACATTTAATACCATACAGACTGAAATAAACTCCAAGGTGACTAGGTAGCTCAAAATTCGGTTGCATGATAAACTGATTCAATTTTAAACATCTAAGACAATTACAGCAGCATCACTTTCTGAGATGTTGCTAGAGGTCTAACCTGCCATTGCTCCAAGTGTGAGCCAGTACCGAAACTAGAAACTATCATGCCATAAAATACCTGAGTAATTTATGATTTTATATACCTGTACAGAAAAAATTTTAGGAGATACTTTATAAAGCAGAGCTTGGGGAAAACTTTCAAAATATCGATTAACTCATTTAACCTGACCATAGCATATCCAGTATCGATGGCAAAGATCTGAGAACTATCATCCAAGAGCAAAGGAACTACTAGGCTTCTGAGGTCTCATTCTTGGCTCTGACAGACTAAGTATGCATCATCTTTGCAAACTTCAAAACTCTACAAAAATTAGCCTTTGCCTCAAGCAGACAAATCAAAATAAAAATCCTAACCAGACTGAATATATACAAGTATGTCAATATTTAAAAGGCCAAGGCAGGTGATTTACTAGGTGGCAAATTGATAAATCTGTAGCGATCTTCTATTAGCCTGCCAGCCAAAGGACAGGTCTTGCTCCATCCCAGTAAACACAGGTTGCTAAGAGAGCACTACCACCTTCTTCAAAGTTAACAATGGTCACTAGGGTAAAGAAAAAGTTTTTAGAAAAGAATGAGAAGTAAGTATGACATATGCCCCTCCTACTTCATATGCAAAGAAAGTGCAGTATTATTTTTTGAGTTGTCTACAGAATGGTCTCAACTACAGCCAGTGCTTAATGTGAATAAATGTCATTTCTACGAGTCATCAATAAAAGAAAGAAAGAAAAAAAAAATGTATACCCTTAATCCAAAACTTACCTTCTCTAGAATTTCTGCATTTATGTTGTGAGGTAGGCAGTGTAGGAATATTGCCTTCTTCCGTTCTTTTCCTGGAACTGGAACTTTCTTCTGCACTTTGCTGAAAGAAAAAGGGAAAGATGTCTATTAGTGCAGTAAAAATGACTGAGACCAGGGGATGTAGCAGTTCCATTCTGGCTCACCAGTTAGTGTGCGGCACAATGGGTTACGCACAAGAAAGAGATCTCTGAAGTTCACAACAATCATCAAATAAAGGCAACATCTCTCCTTAACCCACTGGGAGCAGAGCTAAGAGAATCCCAAACCTGGGGGGGAAAGAAATATCTGCACAAAAGGCCAAAATCTACTGTTAAAAACAGGCTATGGATGTAAAGCCTCTCTACTACAAAATTAGGCATAATTCAGAAAACATGTGAAACCCTCAGCATATACCAAGATGATCGTAAAGTTTTCCCAGGTCTGGAGAAGATTTAAGAATGGCCTGACATGAACTTAATTGCAAAAAGCCTGTTAAAATCTAATAAAGCAGTTTTCTCAAACACCTATATACATACACCTCACACACACAGGCATACACAAACCCCAAAGGAAATGCAACTGGAGGAACTGAAGATCAGAAGTGCTACATCCCAAAGAAAGATTCAGAGACTGGAACTCTGTTATGGGCAGAACAGAGAAGTTTCACTCTGTCCCTGGTCTGTGAACTCCCAAGAACCTTTCTTATTAAATTCTTACCACATTCAGAGAAAGGTCTTGGGAGTCCAAGATCCATAGGTACAGAGAAGGGGCCACTCTGTACAACAAAAGAAGTCACCGTGTGGTGATTTTACCTTCAGTTGGTCTTGACTTGGAATATCCATACTGTGATCCTGTGCGAGAGCGAGAGTCTGAGCGGCATCTGGATAGCAAGTAAAACAAAAGGAAAACCTTCCCTGGTAATAACCATTCTTTCCACATAAAAAGGACCTCAGCAAACAACCCTGGAGCCAGGTTTGCTCCCTAAAAATGTACTTCTCCGTGCTGGCTGGACAAGGCTCTCATCCAAAAGGGAAAAATTAAAACTGGTAAAAATGGCAAAGACCATGATAGGCTATATTCAAAATGTATTACCAAAATGTAATCTGGGAGAAAATGAAAAATAACTAAAAAATGTTCATGGCAAACTTCCAAATTTTAATATGAAAGTGATTCCAACCAAGAAATAATGAAGAGTATCTTTTATTATCTCTTCCCACAGGTTTTTTATTATTCAATCTGCCTAACTTGTAAACAACAGCAAAAAAAGTTCGGCCTTTAATTTTTATTTTCAACTGTTAAAGTTATACAGGGTTATGAAATCTGAAAATCTGGGATTTTCCCCACTTCCTTCATCACACAATAGCACCTCATGGAAACTTATATTCTAAAGTGTCAATGATGATTTCCTGGCTTAAACTCCCATAACCTGAATATAGAGTAGTTGTTTTTAATTAACAAGTTTTATTTTTCCCATTTACTATAAACATTTCCTAAGAAGGAAGGGAGAGCAGATAAAGTTTTTCTCAAAGCCAATGAAAAGCAAAGAAAACAATAACCTGAGAGAAATTCTTAGATAGTCTGAGAGAAATGTATTTCAAGGACGTGGAAACTTTTCAAGCAGAACAGAAGATGAAAACTGAGCTATAGGAAAACGACAAACTGCAGAGAATTTAGTAACCTAGACTGCTCATTATATGAGGTTATATGTAACTGAAATGTTCCCAAATAAGTGTACCAAGGGTTGGGTTCATTAACTACTATCAGGTCCAGAGATAAGACACTTAAGGAAAACCTCATCCTCACGTAATAAAGACTGCCAGAGAAAAGAATACGGATCCTACAACTGGTCTGATAATTCAGTTGTTTTGCACAAAGCAAACAATTTCAAAATTGTAATTATAAACAGCATGATTTCTACAAGCATTTTAATAGGTAAATGGAGAATACTGAGAAGTTTAAGAGACAGCATTTTCTGACCGCAGTGACCTTCAAAGATCAACTAACGAGACGATGCAGATAAAGCATTTCTTTAATAAAGCAACTTGCTTACTGTCATTTATAGTTCTAACACCTTACTATCTTCCTTAGGTTAAAACATTTAGAAGCAGGGGCGCCTGGGTGGCTCAGTCCATTGGGCATCTGCCTTCAGCTCAGGACATGATCTCAAGGTCCTAGGACTGAGCCCCACGTCAGGCTCCCTGCTCAGCGGAGAGTCTGCTTCTCCCTCTCCTCCTGCCCCTACCCCCACTCGTGCGCGCAAGCTCTCTCTCTCTCTCACACTCTCTCAAATAAATAAATAAGATCTTTAAAAAAATAAATAAAATGTTTAGAAGCAAAAAAATTATCGGGAAAACCACAATGTACAAAGGAATTGTAAAATAAAGTTTGTCATATACATTTCATTTTGTTGGTATACATGTGGAGATGTGGACAAATGATTCCTAAACAACCACCTTTACTTTAAACAATGATACTTTCTCAACCTTCAAAATAAAAGGTTTAACTCACTTGCAAAGGTGTACAACAGATGATATAGAAAACATTTTTCTCATTTGTCCTTTTAAATAAAACACATGCAACCCAATTTATTCAGATCAACAGAGATAACCAACTACAGGCACCAATGCAAGTGCAAGTCAAGAGCAGACAATCATAATTACTTCAGGGCAATATTCTGGTTTTGAATATTGTACTACGGTTATATAAGATGTTAGTTACCATTTGGGGAATCTGGGTAAAGAATACTTGGAACTCTTTATTATACTTTTACTACTTTTTTGTAACTAAAATTATTTCAAAGTGACAAGTTTAAGAACAAACAAAATGTTTTAAAGATTTAATGTTCAGAGAGAAAAATGTGTTCAAAAAAATTGGGGCAAATTCTGTTATGACATCAATATGTAGTACAATGAAAAGAGCAAGAACCAGTCAGTCAGAAATATCTGTTCTATCAATTATCAGTGGCAACTAATCTTGGACAAATCACTCATTCTATTAAAAAAGCAAAAAACAAAAACAAAACAAAACAAAAAAAACCCTCCGTTTCATCATCTCCAGCCCTTCCTCACAGGGTTATTGTGAGGATCAACTGAAATGTTATCAAACTGTTCATTTTAATAGATGGCATGTTAAATGCTGCAAGTGCGAGAGAGAGAGAGGAAAAGTGAGAATTACATCCACTCGAGTTATCCAGAGAACAGATCAATCAGAAAACAAATGCTACTGAAAGAGCAGATCAGCAAATATAAAATCCTCTGTGTATTTCAAGCCTGCAGTGAGTATCCCAGGAAAGCCCTACTATTTCACAAGTGACTGAATTTCAATAAAGCACCATATTATTTGCAAGTCCTTCCCACTCAACAGAAATTTACAGCTGGCTGAAGTGGGCAAAGTGGACAAATGGCTCAATGAAGTCAACAGGCTCCAAAATTCAATGTAAGTTCAAAATCACATTTCAATACAAAAGCAGTCTCTCTGCTCTCACGTTAAATCATAAATCTTTATTAGGAATGGATTCTTTTCAATTATTTGTATCACTAAACTATTAAAAGATAACCAATCTGAAAGAATGACAAACTTGGGCTTTCTTTAAAGGATAAGGTTAGGGGCGCCTGGGTGGCTCAGTCGGTTAGGCGTCTGCCTTCGGCTCAGGTCATGATCCCAGGGTCCTGGGATCGAGCCCCGCATCGGGCTCCCTGCTCCGCGGGAAGCCTGCTTCTCCCTCTCCCACTCCCCCTGCTTGTGTTCCCTCTCTTGCTGTGTCTCTCTCTCTCAGATAAATAAATAAAATCTTTAAAAAAATAAAAATAAAAATAAAGGATAAGGTTACCTAAAATCTAATTTGAAGCTCACAAAAGGGCTTCACAGAGGAATGGAGAAAAAAAAAAGTTTCATTATTTGGAAATGAGTAAAAGACAGGGTTACATTTAAGTTATATCCAGTTGATTGATCTCTAATACATCATACTTCAGAGCCCAAAGCAGCCCGCTTCCTGCACCTACCTAATAAACTCAAAAGGCAGTATTTAAAATATATGTAATCAAGCAAAGGGTGTTAGGACAAATTGGCATTCATATAACAGAAAGCTAAAACCATTAGGTGAAAGGTTCTTGGGGGACCCTGACAAACAGATGGATCAGAGGAACACCACATGAGCCCATGGAATCAACATCACTGAAAGAGGGACAAGTGGACCTTACATAACTCGGATGTGATGGAACAGATGTACAAAGCACCACCTATGACACCTTCTCAGCAAAAAACTTAAACTTGAAACTATTCAAGCATTACTAGCTTACCGAAAATAGAAGAAACAGACAAACACGTTAAACAACATCACAAGAATATAATCTGCAACCTCTAGAATTTGGGAAATTCTATAGGACAAATAATTCATTTCTTCAACAAATAAATGACATAAAAATAAAAGGAGGATTGTTTTATAAAGATGCTTAGAGACACATCAACAAAGTGCAATGTGTGGACTTTGTCTGGATCTTGATTTCAACAAGCCAAATGTAAAAGACATTTCTGGGATGACTGGGGGTAAACTATATATACACTGGCTATTGGATAGTATTATGGAGTTACTATTTACTTTATTATTATTAATTTTGTTGGGTGTAAGAATGACACTGTAGTTATGTTTAAAGGAAAAAGGTCTTTATCTGTTAGAGATTTTAGAAGTATGTCCAGATTAAAAAATAATAATAAAATTAAGAAAAAAAAAAGTATGTCCAGATGAAGCAAATGTGGCAAAATGTTAACAATTACTAAGTCTAAGAGATGGGCATTATACTAATCTATTTTCAGTATATTTGAAATTTTTCACAGTGAAAAGTTAACATCCCGGTAACATTCTGTATGACAGGTATCCCTCCCAATCATGCCAACACAGCATTTCATTTCCATCTTGATCCTCCTTGTTTTCCCATCATTTGCCCCCTTGAGCTCAAAGCTGTGATACAGTCTGAAGAAATAGGATGTGACGTACCTGTAGTAGCAGAGGCTAAAGTGACAAGATTCTTTCTTAGCATATCATAGAGAGGGCTGTCAGAGAGAAAAAAAAATATATTAATAACGTCATGGTTTTCCATTAAAACGTTACAGGTCTATCTGATACGTGATTTTCCAACTTTCTCTATAACACATGGAGAAGCAGAATGTTTTCCCCAGAATAGGTTTGTTTGTAATTATTTAAATGTCAAGATATTCATGTCCAAGTGCTTGTGTTACTCTGCCCCCATTAAGAAACTAATTAATTTACATTTTATTTAATTAGCTAACAGTAACACAAGATTTCCTTTGGAGACCATTCCTTCCCACTAGGAATTAAGTTTTACAATTTTAATTGAGGAAGGGGTGGAAGGTAGTCTTAACCAAAGTAAGACAAAATGAGCTCAGAAGAAACAGTCATCACAAAGCTATAGAAAGAAAACACTGGCTTCTCAATTACTAAGTAGCTTTTGACTCTATAACAACCATATACACCCCATGCAGCTGGAGAAAGTCACACAACAGGTCAGAGAAGCTCTACTGTGATTCTTTTTTCCTTTTTTTTTAAGAGAGAGAATGAGTGGGGTTAGGGGAAGAGGGAGAAGCAGACTCCCTGAACAGCAGGGAGCCTGACGTCAGGCTCAATCCCAGGACTCTGAGATCATGACCTGAGCTGAAGGCAGACGCCCAACCGACTGAGCCACCCAGGCGCCCCTCTACTGTGATTCTTATGAAGCCCATCATTTGACCTCAAACTGCCCAGCAATGCTACATTTCTCTAATCAGCTCACTCTTCCTCTCTGTAACAGCTGCTTCACAAAATTCTAACCTAGCCACATCAAGCTCCTCCTACCCAGGCCTTTGCACATGATATTCAATCTGCCAGAAGCTCTCCAACACTCTCCTAGAGCGCCTCTCTCTCCTCACTATCCTGCAGCTCTCAGCTCAAATAGCACTTCCTCAAGAACTGTACCTTGACCCCTAAGACCCTAAATCCCACCCCCAACACAGCTTCATGTACCTCTGGTCTGTAACACCCACAGTATAATTTTACCATGTGCTGGTGTGATATCCTGATTAAGATGGGGAAGAGCATCTACTGTCTCACTGCTCTTTAAGCTCCGCAGAATCCGAGATCGTTGCTCACTAACACGTTCTCAGGGCCTCAAAGGTTACCTGACATATGTAGGCCCTTAAATATTGATTGACTAAAGGAATAAATAACCATTAATATCCTATGGAGACTGAGTGGTTAGATATAAGCACCCAAAAAGATAAACAAACCCTCACTCTTCTTACCTTGGATCTTTCACGGAGAAGCTCTGACGTCCTAGTAGTTCTCCCAAAAGATCTCCACCACAATACACCATATGCTGCTCCTGCTGATCATAAAGCTGCTTCACCATTATATACTGTCCTAGATAGTGCATGACCTGCAGGGCAATAAAACGGTATAAAGAGGTCTGTCCAACAGCTCCAAAGAACACAAATTAATTATGGTAAGATAAGGGAAGTTAGTTTGTTAGAAAAAGAGAAAACACATATGAGCATGACTGTCAGTGCTTGTGTAAGGAGTCCTACAACAAGATGGTTGTCCCCAGCTGGACATCATGAGACTCTTATCATGCTGGACATCAAGAGACTCTTATTTTTTAGAATAGAGATGTAGTGGTCTGACAATGAGAACAAGTGTTGAATTTACCTAGTATCCCCTCAAAAATTTTCTCACCAGCCCAAATAAAGAGGTCTGTTCTATGACTAGAAGTAAAAAACCTTAAATGTGCCTGGGTCTTAAAAATATTTTCCAAGTCCAGGGACACATAACTACAAGATGCCTTTGACGCATGTTCACTTAATTCCTTTTTGGCAAAAAAAGTACAATGGTTAATAAGCCATCAGCACTGTAAGTGCATAAAACATAGAATCTAGTATCTATCAAATAAAAATTTATCTGGCTCTTTTCAGAGTTCACAAAAATGGAAGGAACTCAGACAAGTTCATGATTCAAGTTTTAAATTATCTATTTTTTCCTAATGTTTTCTCTATGCAGATTTTTTGAAAAGGCTTAATAATTAAGTTCACTTAATGACAGTCAGAACTTTGCTGTCATAGATCACAAGCAGACCAAAGCAGCTATCTTTATCCTTAGGTCCCAACTTCTCAGGAATTATTAGATATCTGCACAGAAGATTTTTCCAACACTGTTCCCATTATATTGGTACAATAATGCTCCTAAGCTCCCTCTATACCAAGCAACATTTCACCCCAGATAATCAAATATCTAGGGGGAAATAAGATGGGGAAGAGCATCCACTGGAAGAAAAAGGAGGAAGTTTTATATTTATATCTGTCCAACTTCCAGAAGAAATAAATTCACTCTAAGTATACAAAATAAGATCTTCTAAGACAGTATAGATCATCTACCCTATAAACGTGTACATAATTGTTTGCAGCCATGCCGCACCATCACAGTCTCTAGCTCCCCGAGCTCCAGATGAAGGAGAAGGGGGAGTAAGTAAGGTCTCTATTCTATGGCTTGTACAAAGCAGACCACTTGCAAAGCAACCGGTGGTAAAGCTCTGAGGAAGCAACTGATTACAAAAAGCCACTTGCAAGAGTGTGCCCTCTTCTGGAGGGGTGAAGAAACCTCATCATTACAGCCGGGTACTGTTGCACTCCGTGGAATTAGACATCAGAAGTCCACTGAACTTCTGATTCCCAAACTTCCTTTCCAACATCTGGTGCGAAAAATTGCTCAGGACTTCAAAAGAGATCTCCGCTTCAGTGAAGCTACTGGTGCTTTGCAGGAGGCAAGTGAGGCCTGTCTGGTGGGCCTTTTTAAAGACGCCAAACTGTTTGCCATCCATACCAAACATGTAACAATTATGCCAAAAGACATCTATCCAGCTAGCACGCGACACACGGAGAATGTGCTTAAGAATCCGCTATGATGGAAAACATTTCATTCTTTAAAAAAAATTCTTCTTCCTATTGGTAGTTCTGAACATTAGATATTTTTTTTCCCATGGGATCAAAAAGTAACTAAGTATATGATTACAAGTGGAAAAATAGGGGACAGAAATCAGGTATTGGCAGTTTTTCCATTTTCATTCATGTGTGAGTTTCTTAATATAAATGCAGGGATCTAAGGCATCCATGCAAGTCAAAATGTTTCAGTGAACAAGTCTCAGCAGTTCAACTTCATAACAATTATAAATAAACCTGTTATATTTTTCTGGACAATTTGGATTTTTTTAAAATTTTTTTTAGATTTTATTCATTTATTTGAGAGAGAGAGAGAGCTCATGCGCGAGAGAAAGCACAAGCAGGAGAGTGGCAAAGGGAAAGGGAGAAACAGACTCCCCGCTGAGCGCAGAGCCTGAGGCAGGGCTTGATCCCAGGACCCTGCAATCAAGAGCTGAGCCTGAGCCGAAGGCAGAGGCTTAACCAACTGAGCCACCCAGGTGCCCTGGATTTTTTTTTTTAAACAAGTAAATTTCTGGAGCACCTGGGTGGCTCAGTCATAAGCGTCTGCCTTCGGCCCATGTCATGATCCCAGGGACCTGATCGAGCCCTGCATTGGGCTCCCTGCTCGGCGGGAAGCCTGCTTCTCCTCTCCTGCTCCCCCTGCTTGTGTTCCCTCTCTTGCTGTCTGTCAAATAAATAAATTAAAGCTTTAAAAAATAATAATAAAAATAAAATAAACAAGTAAATTTCTTACTGACAGTAACTGTATGGTGTTGGTAGCATTTTTATCATATGGTAGATCCATCCATTCACTATATTTTTCTGAGTTGTCCTACATGCAAGTACATGTTTTTAATGTTATTTGTCTTCTGTGCTGTTCCTGTAAGTTTACTATTAAAATGCATTAAAAAGGGCACCTGGGTGGCAGTCAGTTAAGCGTCCAACTCTTGGTTTCGGCTCAGGTTGTGAGACGAGCCCCACACTGGACTCCGGGCTTAGCACAGAGTCTGCTTAGCACTCTCTCTCCTTCCCCCTTTGCCCCCTCCCACCTACCTGCATGCTCACCTGCACGCTCTAATAAATCAATCTATCAATCTAAATAAATAAATAAATAACGCATTAAACTAGGAGCACCTGGCTGGCTCAATCAGTAAAGCCTGCAACCCTTGATCTTGGGGTTGTGAGCTCAAGCCCCACATTGGGTGTAGAGATTATTTAAAAATCAAATCTTAAAAGAATAATAAAATAAAAATAAATGCATTAAACTAAAAAAATAAAAAATTAACAATGTGTACATAATTACTACTCTTATTATACCATACTGCCTCGATGCACATATTGAGAGCCAATATTTAAAAATAAAATTTAAAAATTATTTATGCACCAGATAGGGTCAAAATTCATAATAGAGAGCTTCACATAAACGGACTCTAATTTTTTCTCCAGTAAAACATTCTCTCTGACCAATATGTACTTAATTTCTTAACCCAGGAAAACTCTACCATGAGATTGAAGGAGATAGCGTAATTCATCGTAACAACCTTATTGATAGAAAATTCCATACTTCAGGGCACCTGGGTGGCTCAGTTGGTTAAGCACCAACTCTTGGTTTGGGCTCAGGTCATGATCTCATGGGTCCTCAGATCATCGAGATCGAGCTCGAGGCCGGGCCCCCAACTCAGCACGGAGGCTGCTTGAAAATTCTCTCCTTAGCATCCTTTAGATGCTAAATAAGTTATTTAAATGCATAAGTGTTTGAAATAACTCACAGTGCTCAGAAGAGTATCAGACACATTTATAATGAAAAACTACTGCATTTAATTCCTGCCTGGCAGTACATCCTATAAATCATAGACAGTGTCATTTTTTAATCTTGTACACGCTTTGCATTTTAACTGAGATCAATGAATTAACGGTTAATTTTATGTTTGGCTGACAACATACTTCAAAAGGATATTTAAAGGAAATATGAAGTTCAGTTTAGCTCAGTGGTCTTTAAAACAAAGCAAAAGTTGCCTCTCTAGTACCTTAGGCAGAGAATTTCCTTTCTTGGGTCTGATTTCAGAACTATATATTCATCAGCTTCTACTTTTTTTATTTTCATCAGCCTCTACTTCTCAGCTGTTCTTATAACTGAGAATTCTCTTTGATGGCTTACCTCTTTAACAGTGAACATTTCACCTTGTGCACCTGCTGCCTGCAAAATCTTCAAAAGTGGCTGTTTTGGTCGTACCTGATATAAACATAAAATAAACCTGCTATTTATATTCCAACTAGATTGGTTTCTGAAACCCTAGGGAACAAGAAAACCTCATTTTTTTTTTAACAAACCCTGGTAGATACTTACCATCTAATAACATACAATCTTCCAATACATACAATAATAGCAGATAATCAGACTAACTACTTGTCACCTCTCTGAAAAATCCCATTTTCAAAAGACAGCTACTAGGATGGCCAAGATAAAAAGAAAAAAGGAAACAAAAGTAAGTATTGGCAAGCATGTGGAGAAACTGGAACCCCTGTCTACTGCTGGTGGGAAGATAAAATGGTTCAGCTGCTGTGGAAAATAGTTTGACAGTTCCTCAAAAAGTTAAACACAGAATTACCGTATGACCCAGCAGTTCCATTCCTAGGTATATACCCAAAAAAACTGAAAGTAGAACTCAAACAAGTATTTGTACACCAGTGTTCACAGGAGCATTATTCACAATAGCTAAAAGATGGAAACAACCCAAATAGCACTGACAGGTGAGCAGATAAACCAGATGTGGTATAAACACACATGGGATAGTGACTCTGACATTTCTTGACTCTATGGAGTCTGTCTTTAGCCACACAATTTTATCTTTAAAATTTTTATAGTCAAAGTTGTCTCTCTCTTCCTCTTACCACCTCTTTGGTTTTGTCTTATTTAAGGCCCCCTTCATCCTAAAGTTTCACAAGCATTTCCTAAATTTTCTTCTAATATTATTTCCCTTTTTACATTTAAATCTTCATCTATCTGGAATTTGTTTTTGTACAAAGTTGGAGGTCTTCATTTGTTTCCTTCCAGAGATGGACAATTACATCAAAACCATCTATTACATAAGCCACATTTTCCCCCCATCAAATCCAAATTCCACCTTTATCATACACTAAGGTACACAATACTATACATATTGTGCAATGTTTATGAAAACACAAGACCAAATTATGTATTTTTATATGTTAGAGGAAAAGATCTGAAACAAGACACACCAAATTAATAACAGTGTTGTCTTAGGGGGAGGGGGCTTTGGGGGAAGAAGAGAAGAGACAGTCAAGGAGTCCCTATAGATAAATACTTTATAAATACATTATAAAATTGGATTTTTTAATAAGAATGTATTTGCTATATTTACAACTTAAAATTAATTTTTAAAGAAAACAAGCTTGTTAAAATGAAGTGAGAGAGACAGAAAACAAACATATAACTTGACCCCAAATTCTCCACAAGCCACCCATACTCTAAAACACAAGTTTTCAAAATGTACCGTATTTTAAGCAATCTGTAACCTCATCTTTATTTAATCAATAATCAATTCAAATTTTGAGCACTGACACCATTTCCTAGTTTCCCTAATATGGCATTTAAAAAATAATCCATTCTGCTCTACATAAAATCCTAGTAAGTGAAGTCACCTACATGCTCCAACTCAATTTTTTAAAAGCTTACAGAAAACTAGGAATGCCTAAAAATGATTTACCTGATTGGTTTGTTCTGGAGAGATCCTGCAAGCACTGTCAGAAGTTGAACACTGGGCAGAGGTGGAAAATGATGTCATTTTGGCAGTGAAGAAATTTTCGTCTGCTGATAAATCTAAAAGGAAAAAAAAAAAACCATGAAATCTCTTCTAAAGTAGAAAATTCTCACTTTAAGATTTACAAAATAGCAGCCAGCAGAAGTAAAAAAAAAAAAAAAAAGACACACGTATCAGAGCGCCCTACACAAATGCGATATATCCGTATGCGGTTCTTGATACTCTTCTCATCCCTAAGTTCAGATCCTACAAAAAAACTTTAGAGTTTAATTAATAGTCAGAGCCATCAATGCTTCCCTCAGGTAAAGCCTGAAACAGAAACAGGTTCAGGCATGCTCCAACCTTCACAGTGATGATAATGAGTAAACTGTTTTAGCTGAAAGTCAAATTTACAATCACTACCTCCCCAATGGATATCAGGGTTTCAGTAACTCCTCCTCTCTTGAACAGTGCTCAAGAGCACCCCCTGGAAGACAAATGATGTAGAGCTGGGGGAATTACCAAGATTAAGTAATAGATTTAAGATTCCAAGAGCGCATCAAGAAAAACCTCTGCAACATGTTGAAACATGTCTTGGCAAGAACTACAAGAAAGTGAGAATCAAATTACTCAGTATCAGTTAAAGCAGCTTTTAATACCTGCCAAACCCAAAGAGTATACAGCAACCAAATACCTACAAGATGGGTTAAGCCAAGGTGGACATTTATCATCAAGGAAAGATATAAGCATGAAATGAAATAGTAAGATTTAGTTAAAAATTTTCACCTCTACCATCTCTCCTTTAAAAAAATTTTTGAAAAAAGCTTTAAGAGGAAAAATAAATTTTTAAATAAACTTGTTGAAGTTTACCGTTTTCTAGTAAAAAGGTGATAAATGATCAGTGAAATTTATGACCAACAAGCCACAGCAGGGAAAGGGTGAAAGGGGCCTGGAAAAACTGACAAATAGTCTGGCTAAAACTAACAAGATTCCTCAATCTTCTGAGAATACTTACTAACTGTAACAAAACACAAATTTCTCCCTTCCCCATCTGCCTCCCTTGCTACAAAATGGGAAGTCAAATAGGATACAAGCAGAATTTACAATTCTAAAAAGCAGCTAGCTTCTAATTAGCATTTCAAACCTTATACCTAAAGCACCAGGCCGGATCTTCCCAAACCTGCCAGTCCTGCAGCCTTCCCCGTCTCAGCAACCGGCAACTCCATCCTTCCAGTTGCTCAGGTCAACGACCTTGAAGCCATCCTTGATGCCTTTTTCTTTCACATTCCACACCCAGTTCATAAATAAACTCTAAAGCTGTATCTTCAAAATATATCCCAAACTCTAACCCTTTCCCACCGCTTCAGTTATTACTGCACTAATCCAAACCACCTACCTCTCAACCACACTACCCTCCTAAGGTTTTCTTGCTCCCACCCTTGCCCCTTGAGCTCCTAACCTCCTCCTTTTGTCTGCTCAAATGTCAGTTTACCGAGGCCTTCCATGACTACCCATTTTTAGAACTGCAACTCCCAGCCCCCAGTATTCCCTATCTCCTTCCCTGCCTTATTTTTCTTTACTGTCCTTGTTACCAACCAACATACTATACATTTTAATTACTTATCATGTAAAACATAAGCAGCAAGTGGGCAGGGATTATTATTTATTCATTGATTAATAAATCCTTGGTGCCTAAACTTGACAATTACATACACTGTAGAGCAACATGATGGATACAAGTATCAGTAACAGTGTGGATGGGGGGTGCCTGGCTGGCTTAGTCGGTGGAGCATACGACTTTTGATCTCAGGATTGTAAATTCAAGCCCCATGTTAGGTCTACACTTACCTAAAAATAAAATCTTAAAAAAATGAACCACATCTCCCAAGTAGCTCTGTGATGTTTTATCAACAGAATACAGCGGAAGTGATAATGTGCCAATTCCAAGCCTGGCAGCTTCATTTTTTGTGCTTTTGGAGACCCCTAAAATATGACTACTCTACTGGAGACCACATAAAAGGGCCATGTGGAGAGGATTAGTTGTCCAGTTGAGCCCAGCCTTCCAGCCATTCCCTCCAAAGCACCACATATTACAGAACATTCCAACAGCAGCTGTCAGCTGACCACAGCTGCACGACAGACAAGAACCATCCAATTTAGCTCACAGAATCATAATAAATAAAATGGCTGTTGTTTTAACTCACTAAGTTGTTGGGTGGTTTATTACATAGCACTAGATAATCAAAACAAATGGCACAGACTTATGGAGAGCTTACACTGTACCAGGCACACATATTAACCCATTTAATACTTAAATAATCCTATGATGTAGGTAATATTATTATTACTATTATTTACAGTATAATAATTATTAGTATAGTATAATTAGTATTATTATTATACTATATTAATAATTATTATTGTTTTACATCTAAGGCAAGAGAAGCATGGAGGTGTTACTTGCCCAAGATAACACAATTCAGTGAACTGCTACAGTCAAGATATCAAACTCAAGAGTTCTGAAGTCCCCACTTAGTAATATTTTTTTGCCTGTTAGACCTCAATGTACAGAATTAATCATAATCCTTTCCTTCAACATACTCTCATTGTTTATCCACACATGGCCCACTTTTCCTTGATTCTTCCTGATAGAATGAGCACCTGCAAAGCAGTACTCTTGACAACAACCTATATTTAATTATAATATCCCCTCCCTATCCCATTCTCCTGCCTCTCCCCAACAATCATCCTTATCCTGTTTTGATTTTCTTCCCTTCCTTTTTATGCATTTTACTGCATCAAAATGCAATGCTAAAGAGTATTTTGTTTAGTTGTTTTTAACTTTAAAAAAGCAGGTATAGGGGCGCCTAGGTGGCTCAGTCGTTAAGCATCTGCCTTCGGCTCAGGTTCCTGGGGTCCTGGGATAGAGCCCCCCGCATCCTGCTCAAGAAGCCTGCTTCTCCCTCTCCCACTCCCCCGCTTGTGTTCCCTCTCTCGTTGTCTCTGTCAAATAAATAAATAAAATCTTAAAAAAAAAAAAAGCAGGTATAGTAATTTTAAAGATTTTTGTTTCACTAACATTAATTCCTACTGTCGTGTCACTTTTATTTTTTTATTAACATATAATGTATTATTAGTTAGAGGTAGAGGTCAGTGATTCATCAGTCTTATATAATACCCAGTGCTCATTACATCATGTGCTCTCCTTTATGTCCATCACCCAGTTACCCCCCACCCCCACCCCCTCCCCTCCAGCAATCCTGTTTGTTTCCTGTTAATTAGGAGTCCTTAGTTTTTAATTTTATTGTAAACTAAATATAACATAAAATTTACCATTTTTAAGTGTACAACTCAGTAACATTAAGTACATTCACAATACTGTACACCATCACCACGATCCACCTCCAGAACTTTTTAATCACCAAACTGAAACTCTGCACCCATTAAACGACGAACTCTCCAATGACTTCCTCTCCCCAGGCCCTGGTAATCACAAAACTACTTTCTGTCTCTATGAATATGCCTATACTAGATACCGCATATAAGTGAAATCACAACATTTGTCTTTTTGTGTCTGGCTTATTTCACTTAGCATAATGTTTTCAGGATTCATCCATGTCACAGCATACTTTATTTTGATTGTTGTACAATATTTCAGTGTGTGATGAACATTTGGGTTGTTTCTAGGTTTTCACCATTATGAATAGTGCTACTAGTAATATTCTTGTACATGTGCAAAAAAAAAAAGTGTCTCTTAGGCATATCTGTAAGAGAAATTGCTGGATCATAGCATATGTGAATACTCAACTTTAGGAACTGATACCAAACTGTCTTCAAAGTGTCTACACCAATCCACAATCCCATCAAGAATGTGTAAGATATCCTGTGAATCCATCTCCTCTCCATTATCCGACCTTATGAGTCTTGTTATCCAGTAAAGCATGTCTTCTCCCTGTTCTTTTTTAGAAGTGACCAGCTATTCTTGGCCCCCTAACTTTTTAAGTTTTCAATTTTAATTCCAGTATAGTTGACATACAGTGTTCTATTAGTTTTGGGTGTGCAATATGATTCAACAATTCTATACATTACTCCATGCTTATCATGGTTAAGTATACTCTTTAATCCCCATCACCTATTTCACCCATCCCCCACCCACTTTCCCTCTCCTCTGGTAACCATTAGTTTGTTCTGAGAGTCTGTTTTCTTGTCTGTCTCTTCTTTTTTTCCTTTGCTCTTTGTATTGTTTCTTAAATACCACAGGAGTGAAACCATATTTGGCTTTCCTCTGACTTATTTCACTTAGCATTATACTCTCTAGCTCCATCCATGTTGTCGCAAATGGCAAGATTTCCCTTCTCTTTTATAGCTGAATAATATTCCAATATATTGTGCATATATACCAATCTTCTTTATCCATTTATCTATCGACAGACACTTGGGCTGCTTCCATAGTCTGGCTAGTGTAAATAATGCTGCAATGAACATAGGGACGCATGTATCCCTTTGAGTTAGTGTTTTGTATTTTGGGGGTAAATACTCAGTAGTGCAATTACTGGATCATTAAGGGTAATTCTATTTATAACTTTTTGAGGAACCGCCATACCATCTGCCACAGTGGCTGCACCAGTTTGCATTCCTGGCCCCTTATATCTCTTCCATATAAATGTTATTATCTTTATCAAGTTCCATAAAAATCCCTCTTGGGATTTTGAATGAAATTACACTTTATATATAGATCAAATTGTTTCCTAATCATTAACATATATTTCTCTATTTATTAAAGACTTATTTAATTTCTTTTAGTAGAATTTTTTAATTTTCCCTTTAGAGATTTAACACGTTTGTGTTAGAATAATCTTGAAGGTTAATATTCTAATACTATTGTGATGCCTTCTCATTATAATTTTTAGTTTTTGCATATATACAAAAATACAAATGACTTTCATTGATCTTCTATCCAGTCACCTAAATTTACATTATTTCTAATAATCTGTCTGTATATGCTTCTGCTTTCTATGTAAATGGTTATATCATCAGCAGATAATAAAATCTTATTCCCTCCTTTCCAATTCTTACGCTA